GTAAGACAGAGGCTGCACCCAAGTTTTAAGTAAATGAATAAAACAGAGATAAGTAAAACTCAAAAATCAGTACTCGATATTAATAAATGCAACTCAAATAAATAAACGCGGTTGTATGGTCCAGCCTCCAGCCTCCAATTTTCCGTTGTCTGTCGTAGTTTTCCCACCCTGGGAAAGGACACAGAGAGAGCCAAGACCTGGAGCATCTGGACTTACAACCATTTATTGATGGAAGTTACATTATTGAAACAGCAACTTATAAGCAGTCCTCGCGGCATCCCCATAATCAAGAGCCGCGGTGGCGCAGTGGTTAAGAGTGCAGTACTGCGGGCTACTTCTGCCGATCCTCAGCTGCCAGCATTTGGCACCTCGAATCCCACCAGGCACAAGGTTGACTCAGCCTTCCGTCCTTCCGAGGTGGGTAAAATGAGGACCCAGATTGTTGGGGACAATTATGCTGACTCTGTCAACAGCTTAGAGAGGGCTGTAAAGCACTGTAACGTGATCAAAATTCAGGTGCTTGGCAGTCATACACGACCGTTTCAGAATCCCGGGATCAAGTGATCATTCCTTGTGATCTTCCCAGCTAGCTTCCTCCGAGCAACGGGGGAAGCCGGATTCTGTTAACCCCACCATGTGATTTACTTAACAATTGGCCGTCATTTGCCAAACCACGGTGGTAAAAATTGGCTCTGATTTGTTTTAACTGCCCTGCTTAAGCAGAGGAAACTCTGGTCGGCAATTATGGTCGTAAATCTCGGAGAAGAGGCACCGGACTTCATCCTAGTCATGGAATAATTGCAGCCCACCGCTGCAATTTTGGAGGGTGGGGGAGGTCAGGCAGGACTCTGGAGATGCATCACACTCCTTTCCAAATCAGCCAATGAGATTCGTGGACTAAATTGAGCAGAGGGTGTTCCCCACGTGGGTGGCTTACCCACCCACTGCTGTGGCTACATTTTCCGGGAGCTTTTTAACCCCGGCTGAAAGAACATCGGGAGTAGCTGGAGTTTCCTTGTAGCTCCCTGTCTCCTAAGCTCCAGGCGTTCACCCACCACCTCGGTTAAGCTGCTCGCCGGCGTCTCCAAATTGTTGCCATCAAAGGGCCGGCCGTCTGGAAGTCCTGACTGGGAAGACACCCAACGACAACTAGCAGCTACAAGCGATTTCGGTCCTTCGGTTGTCTTGAGCATCTCTACAACATCAGTGCCATGGCTTTCCGGTCTTTTCCCGTGGTGTCCTCCCAGCCTTGCACCATCCAGCCCTGCCCCGCCGAACCTTCGACCGACACCAGGTCGTGTCCGGCCCCGTACCGGGATTGGAAATCCGACTTGACAGACTGCTGTGCGGACAAGCAGACTTGTGAGTATCTCCCGAGGACTCGACCTGGGAGGGGGAGGCCCACAGGACCCTTCGACTGGCCCCACTGGGAGAATTAAGATGAAATTTATCACTGGAGTCTGCCAAGAAGAAACACGGGCCAGCAAACACCCCACCACCACCACAGAGATGCTGCTACGAGTCGTCCTCGGCTTACGACCACAATCGAGCCTCATGTTCCTCGGGTAAAACGAGGCTGCTGTCGAGCCGAGCCTCATTTTGCAATCTTTTTGCCCCCGTTGTTAAGCGCAGCGCTGCAACTGTGAAGCGAATCGTTTGGTCGTTAAGCGAACCTGGCTTCGGTTGTTAAACGTGGCTGTTGTCGAGCGAGCCACGTCTCCTTTTACCACCTTTTTGCCACCATTAAGTGAATCACGGCAATTGATTCGTGAATCATTTGGTCAGTAAGCAAATCATTTGGTCATTAAGTGAATCTCCCCCCCCCCGCGTTGACTTTGCTCGTCGGAAGCCGGCTGGGGAGGTGAGAGTCACGTGATCTCAGGGCAGTGCCTGTTACAAATATATGCCATTTGCTAAGTGCCCAAATTTTGACCATGCGACCATGCAGATTACAGATTACCCGAGTGGGAAGGGACCTTGTAGGTCATCTAGTTTGCACCGGTTGTGTGAAAACTATCATTGTTTTCCAGTGCTGCTGTAAACGTTGGTCACTAAAAATTGGTTGTAAGTTGAGGACTACCCATATTTCCCAGTGGTGCCCTTGTTTTGCTACTCATTTAATTATCCGGGAGCTAAGATCTGTATCGTTTGAAGAGCATCGTGGTACGAACTCTAACGCTAAAATACTGTGTTTCTCCGAAAATGAGACAGGGTCTTATTTTCTTTTGACTCCCGAAATAAGCTCCTGGCCTTATTTTCGGGGTGGTCTTATTATTTTTGAGGTGCAGGAGGCGGCGAGTGTGGTCACATCAGGGCTGCTGCTCTGTTGCAATATTTTCGGGGAGGGCTGATTTTAGCGCATGTGCTCAAAATCCCGATTGGGCTTATTATCCGGGGAGGTCTTATTTTCAGGGAAAACGGTTGGGGGGACAAGTGTAGCTCCTCAAAACCTCACTCCTGCTTCCCTCTTGCTTCCCCCCACGCATCTGTGGTACCTTAGCTCCTTGTGTCCTGGCATGCCAAGTAGCGGCAAGCCTTGGTGAATGCTGCTGCCTGCCGATCCTCCCTGGAGCCTTGGTGGCTCTCCGGACGGGCTTGCGAGAACAGCAACGTATCAAGGTATTCCTTGGGCTTCCCAGGTTCCCCATTTTATCCCCGGGGAAAGATCATGAGCGGGAGACAACTGGGGCGGGAAGGCAAGGGCTGAGAAGAAGGCGGTGGGAGGAAATTGCAAGAGTTGGGAGAGCAGACTTTAATTAACTTGGAAAGTTAATCCCATTCTCAGTTGGCATCGGCGGCAGTTGATTTCCTGCTGATTTTTTTTTCAGTCCTGGGGTGGGGAGGGAGGGAGGGAGGGAGGGAAGGAAGGAGGACAAGATCTCTCGTTTCACCCTGGAGACAGCTCGGTTAGATCTTTTAAAAATGAAAAGCGAAGGCAGAAAAATGGAGATCGGTTGGTTGGGGTTTTGGGGGGGGGTTATTTTGAATCGAGAGACGGTTGGAATTGGGGAGGCGCAGCTACCGTAGAGCGTAAGTTAAATAGAAGATGTTGCACTGGGTAATTGTCAGAAGTGTCCTTCAACCACGAGAACTTTCAGACATGTGGACTTCGGTTCCACCACAAAACCGCGGTAGACTAAAGCGCGCTCGACGAAAGCGCGTACGTGACGTCATCACAGCGCGACGAAAACAGCACGCTGTGAGCGGTAAACTTAAAATTAACGCGTAAATCTAAACCTAACCCCCCCAAACCTAACCCTAAAGCTAACCCTAACCCTTAACCTAACCCTATACCTAACCCTTGACCTAACGCTAAACCTAACGCTAACCCTTAACCTAACCCTAACGCTTAACGTAACCCTAACCCTAACCCTAACCCTTAACCTAACCCTAAACCTAACCCTTACCTTAACTTGAATCGGCTTGCTTTAAAAGCACTTTTTAAAGCGCCCTTTTTTCTCCGCGGTCGTATTTGTCGCGCTGCTGATGACGTCAGGTACGGGCTTTAATCGGGCGCGCTTTAGTGGACCGCGGTTTTGTCGTGCCACGGTGGACTTCGATTCCCAGAATTCCCCAGCCAGCCCACATGCCTGAAAGTTCCCAAGATTGAGAAACGCTGATTTACAAGTTAATACTATTTTCCCCTTCTTTCCCCAGGGGGATGTGTGCTGCGATTGGGTGGCTGCCTGCTGCTGCTGCCCCTGTGCCACGTGCCAGATGGCGCGTGAGATAAAAAATCCCTGTTAAACCATCCTTGGACTCCACGAAGCCCTCTTCACAATTAACCAGGAAAGAGAAATTTACCTGCCGGGAAGGAATGACATCAAACTGAGCTGAACAAGGGCTTAAAACAAGAGGCAGCCACACAGGGAATGCAGCAGGAGGCAATAATCCCATGCAACCCTTCCCACCCCCCAATCTTCCTGCCCGCTTCCATCACCAACGTTTTGACACACCTGGCTCCCCGCAGCAGCGTCGAGGGCAGCTTGATAACAAAAAAAAACAGCGGAGCTCCCTAATTCCGACCAGTTTAGCTGCTTGGAATTAACACGCTTCTGCGAACTGCTTTCCATTCGTTCGCTCCCATCCAGCAGGGGATTAACGACTTTTAATCACCACGCGGCAACTCGCCCGGCATCGCGACAAACCAGCCCTTCAAGATCAAGAGGCTACGCACAACCGCAAGCACAATTATCTCCCAGGCATCAAAGGGACACCATCTGCTTCTTCTAACCATTTTGCAAGGGAGATCGCTATCAACGCAAAAGCCCATTCGTGTTAACAAAACCACAGGCCCGGCGGGAAAATTGCCCAACGTGCTTTTCCCCTGATTTGTTCAGGAGATTGTAGCTGCTTTTCCACGCTCCAGATTGACAATGATTCATTCCAAACCAACTTTACTCCTTCTCGAACTTCTGATCCCAAGAGAAGTATTGTCAGCCAACTACGTTTAACAGTGATTCGGGATTTTGGGGTTTCCGCGGAGTGGGACGGCTGATAGTCCTGGCCGATCTGCAGCAACACTGGGTAGAAAGCAAGCGACTTAAGATCTAGTAGATTCTCTACACAGCGGTGGAAAAGCAAGGCTGTGAACAATCAAGGGAAAACTCCGTCCTTCCTCCATCTCTACACTCACTTTTGGACAAGTCTGGCCCGGAGCTCGAGCACAGTCTGCTTGGTGGATTTCGTCCTCGGGGTTTCCACCCTGTATGGAAACATCAGCTAAACAAAAGGGTGGGGGTTCACACGTATGAAGACACAGAAGAGCTACCAGTGAGTACTAACCAAGCTGAACATGTGGGGCCAATGCAGACACTAGGACTCGGTTGAGTGTGTTGGGGAAACACAGGCATTAAGAGCTAGGCTGAAGGCCACCCTGCATGCTCCCCCTATACCAGGGGTCTCGAACCTTGGCGACTTTCCGACTTGTGGACTTCAGCTCCCCAAATTCCTCAGCCAGCTGGGAGTTGAAGTCCACAAACAATTATTTTATTTTTTTTAACTGTGCCTTGTAATTCTGGGAGTTGAAGTCCACCAGTCGGAAAGTCACCCAGGTTCGAGACCCCTGCGGCCGATGCCATCCATTCATACTGAGTTGGCCCGAGGACCCTCCCAAGCAGGAGGGCAGCAGAGCAGGCGCACACAAGCCTCGGAGAGCATCTCTGGCTTTTCCGTTTGGTGGCCGCATCTCCAGCTGGCCGTAAAGTCTGTAGCGACGGCATACGAGCCGGAGAGATTTTGCACGCCTGTTCTCCTGAAGGTTCTTGCCCTTCTCAGCCCCTCCACCAGGCAGATTGCTGAAGCCCCTCTCAGCCCCAGCAGGGCGGAGTCCTCCACTAACTCATAGGGACATGCTCGTCAGGTTCTCGTGGCTGAGCAGTCCTTTGCGCGAGCTGCTCATGCCGTGGCTGCTGCTGCAGTAGTCCTGGAGATTGTGGCGCAGGGTGACGAGAGCAGAGCCAAGGCAAGCCCGGTTGGGGGCCTGCAGCCCACCCGGTAGCTGGAAGAGGACAGTAGCCACACCGGCCATGCCATCGTCCGTGGGCTCCAAAGTGATCGGCCCCACCCGGAAGCTGGAGTACGAGTAGCCCATGAGATGAGACAGGAAGGGCTCCGAACGGCGGAAGTGGGCCACGGGATAAGGGACCTCGTGATAGGGTTTCAAGCGGCTGGGAAGGGGCTGGGCCGCTGCCAAGGATGGGAGTTTGTGTGGGCGAGCGGGGAGGAAAACCAACTCGGCCGGCGCCCCCAAATTATCCGGCTCGAAGTAAATGGTCACTTTGGCGAAAGGCCGGCTGGCCATCTTGGTCATTTCCTGCAAGTGGCGCCGTTGCTCGTGTCTCAAGTCCAGGAACTGCTTGATTTTCCAAAGCAAGACGCAGACGGAGAGGAAGAGGAAGAAGCAGGAGAAGAAGACGGAGAAGAAGACGAAGAGGTCGATGTGCGCCTGGTCCTGGCGGAAAAAGAGCAGGCCCTGAGACTCGGTGACGTTCGGGCTGCTGCCGCCGATGCCCAGCAAGATGACGTAAAAGCGGCTGGATTTCAGAGCGTGGATCTCGTGCGGGTAAGTGATGACCACCCGATCGCGGACGCCCCGCACGATTAGCACCCCCTGCTGCTCCCTCACGGTGATGTAGGTGATCAAGCCGTGCGCCTGCGCCTCTCGTACCAGCGGGGAGGACTGGCTCACGTTGCTGCGCACCGGCGTTTCTTCCCCCGACGGGACGATCCTCACCAAGTGGATGCCCGTCGCCCGGTCGACGTCCACCACGAACGTTTCGTAGGAGGTAGAGATGTAGACGTCCACTCCACCGAAGGTCACGTCGATGGTGATGCGGATGTCCACGTTGGTAAATTTGGGCTGGACGCCGAAAAAAACCGAGCGTCCAAAGAGCAAGTTCTTAATGTTCGGTTCGTGAAAGCAGTTGAGTTGGGACGTCGGGTCGAAACAGCTCTCCTGATCGACGATGATCAGCCGGTAGCACTGGTGGCCACCCACCGGATTCCCGTGGAAGAATTCCCGGCATTTGGCGCACTACGGAAAGGGGAGAAAAAGACCAGCCGGAAGATTTATAGCGATGCCAACGATTTTGAACTCTTTCTTCCTACTCAATTTGTCAGCCATATTTGAAAACCAGGAGTCTCCAAACTTGGCAACTTTACGACTTGTGGGACCTCAACTCCCAGAATTCCTCAGCCGTCCGGCTGAGGAATTCTGGGAGTTGAAGTCCACAAGTCGTAAAGCTGCCAAGTTTGGAGACTCCTGGTTTTAAGAGATGCCGGTTAAACGGTATGTGTCATTTCCCACACCCCAGTTAATACTTATTAGTGGACCTTAAAAATTTATTTCTCCTCTTTGATCAGCGCAACAGGATCTGCAAAGCCGACGCAGGCCTTTAATGCTGTGCTCGCAACAACCGCAGGACACAAGTGGTTCCGATTGTTACTCCAGACCACAAAAACCGATGTAAAATTGACGATTCCTTTCCAGAATTCCATCCCTCTTTGAAGAAATGTTACGCGCTCCAGGTTATTTGTGACAGCGGGCCTTCGGGATTTGCCCGCTACTAACTCCATCAATAAAAGATGCATACTAATTCGATAAACATTTGTGAATGGTTTTGTTCGGCTCCCATTTATCCCAGAAGGTTTTTGCTGGTGCAGGCACTATGGACCGGTCCTTTGCTGTTTGCAGGGTGATATAAGCTCCTCGCGGGCCGGATTCGGCCTCTGGGCTTTGAGTTTGACATCCCTGGTGCAGGACAAAGTCCAGAGAAATGGCCCTTGATTTTGTGCTGCTAAATTCATCCCTCTGATTGAACTTCCCTTTCTCCTGATTCTAGGGCCGGTCCTTCCCTATAAAGACCCCCCCACCTCCCAGCCTAAACCCAGAGCCTCCTTCCCCCGCTTTACCTGTTGTTTGTAGCAGTCCTTTTTGTCAGCCTGGGCGCTGTTTTGGCAGCCTCCGGTTTCAGTGTTGTTTTGACACGGGCAGCCGGTCCCATCCAGTTCGTGGCAATAGTCGGCATGGCCGTTACATTGGCACCTGGGAGAGGAAGGGGAGGAGGTAACGGATTGCTCTGAACGTACCACCCACCACACTGGAACCTCTCGTTACATCGGGAATATTGGTAGTCCTTGACTTTACAACCCCAATTGGAACTGGGATTTTGATCGTTGAGCGAGTCACCGCCCGAGGCCCAGTGCTATTATATAGCAATAGCAATAGCAGTTAGACTTATATACCGCTTCGTAGGGCTTTCAGCCCTATCTAAG